TAAGCACATAAACCAAAAAACATAATTTTTTAGCAACTGAGCGATTTTTCATAATTAAAACTACATTCAGCAGATTATCCAAATAAACTATTTACCCTATCAAACTCAGTCCAACAATTCCAAATATTTTACACAACATAAAGACATAACAGTGGCACATCATACTAAAATTTCAGCTCATTTGAAGCACGGACCAATTTAATATGCATTTAACAAGAATCTGCTAAAAAATAGATTTAATTATTTAAAATAGCTACAGGCCGAGAAAAATTATGAAATGTTTAAAAAATCCTTGTTTTCATCAGAGAACATAATTCTCAAAATTTCAAGGTAATCGGAGCAACACACAATTTTTGGTGAATTTTTCACTATAATAGCAATTAATCACAATCAATAAATTCATAAACGACTCATAAATTGTTTAACTCGTCCGAGGCCTTAACCATAAGGCCAAGGACTTTATATTGTTCCAGATCCACAGCCTTCACACGGTTTCAACGTGTTCACGTTCGATTCACACGAATCGACAATGACCACATATAAACACGACGATACCATTTAACATCATCAAGATATATTTACACATACACTTGACGAATAAAATAATGAGGCTATTCAAATAACATATAGCAATCACATGAAAAAAAAAACACATAACATATTAATCGAAATGAGTTAAGGTTCGAGCCGTCAAACCGTTCTCGGGAAAGACGCTCGAAAACGAGTCGAGAGAAGGTCTTAACGGGGTCGTGAGTCGCGCAGGGGTACTCGGGCTCGACGGATCCGCGAGGCTCGCCGGTTCTCACGAGCAGCAGAGGTGGCGACGGCGAGAGGGCTGCCGGCGGTCTGCTCGCGGTAAGAGGAAGATGGTGGATTTTTGCTAGTCGGTATTCAGTCGCGAACAGAGGCTGGGGGCAGTTCACGGCGGTCGTCTCGCACGGCCTCAGCGGCAGCAGGTAGCCAGCGTTGGCGGAGGGCATCGACGGGGGTCATGGTGGCCTGAGATGCGTGACGGGGCGGAGCAGCGGCGGACAGCCATCGCGGGTGGCAGGGAAACGCCGGAAGCACACGAAGAGGGAGGGCTCGCCGGATTTTGCTCGCGGGAGTAGGAGTCGTCGGTGGAAGGAGACTCGCCGGAGGCGATGGGGTCGCGGGGAAAGAGCTGCGCGTCGGAGAAGAAGAACAATGCACGGCGGCGACTGGTTTTTCTTGCGAGGGGAAGGGCGACGGGATTGATTGGGAGCAGAGAAGGGTTTTCTTTCTCTGCGCGGCGTGAGAGAGAAACGGGAGAGAAAAGAAAAGATTGAGAGGCTGCAGCGTGTTTGTTGGACGAGAGAGAGAGGTACAGATATAGAAACTAGGTTTTAGTTTCTTTCTCTCCAAGACACACATACACACGCACAAGAGAGGAAAAACTGGGTCGGGCTCGTCTGGTTCGATGCGGGGCTCGAGAAAATAAATCGGCTTTCGGGCTCGATTTCTAAAAGCTTTACGACAAATTCGATTCAGATCGATCGCACGACAAGTAAATTAATAAGTTCGAATAGAATTTATTCATACACAAATTATTTTAAAAATAATAATAATAATAATAATAATAATAATAATAATAATAATAATAATAATAATAATCTAAATACACATTTAGGCAAATAATAATAATAATAATAACAATAATAATAATCCTCAAATAAACCACAATTAAATGGGGCATTACATTGTCTGGTCGATGCTTTGAACCTGCACACCTCCAACGACAAGAAAAAAGTACAAGAATACCTGGAAAATAAAAGAAAACACCGAATAAACCAAAATAAATGAAAGTACGCGATAAACGACTAAATGGACTGAAAGACCTAAAATAGGGGAATAACACAAGCAAACCAATAACATAAATTGTGACAAAAATAGTACAAATAGTAGGGTAGTTTCCAAGTGTTCAAGTTCATCGGGAAGAGACGATAACAATATTAGAGAGAAATCTTCATCGTTGAATATGACGTTCAATTTCAAAAAATCTACAACCAACTGATTGAATGCAGTTATGGGTCATTCATCGATGCGCCATGTTGGTACTCAATCGAAACAATTGCTTCTTCATGAGGAGATTATTATGGCCACTCTTCTTCGGAAATTTGTCCTCCAAACCCTTACATAGGTTGTGGATAGAGTACTCATTTTGAATGCGTACATCTGCTATCTAGACAAGCACGAATGGATAAGTAGTTGATATTCTTCTAGTCTTCGTTGTCAACTTCGTATGGCTTCTAGTGTTTAATGGAAATGTCGACGCTTGAAGATACAATCCAACATTTCCCCTTGCCACATGCTAAAATGATTGGTCCCATAAAAGATCTCCACGAGAAGTCTGACGTCCCTGTCCTTACCGGAGTGAGTGCAAAGGATGATGTACCTTGATCTCCTTGGCCATCTCAAACTCGAATGTAGTGTTAGCCTCACCGAACGAACATAGGACAACCTTTCGACTCCACTTGGAGTATCACAACAAGTGTAGATGATGAAAATACCCACAACAAATAATAGCAAGCATTACTACAAATAAAAAATAAGCAAACAAAATTAAGTACTAAAATTAAATGACAAGAAATAAAAGAACACACCAAGTTGATAATGGTGTTTGACCAATATTTCCTACGTCTCCGGCACTGCCAACCACAACGCCCTAACAAATTAGAACTAGGATTAAATAGCTCAAAACAAGATTTTCTTAACTAAGGATTCTTTCTAAGATATGGTAGAAGATAATATAGTGCAATTCTAGCTCAATGACAAGGAATCTATTTATAGTAAAAATATCTTACAATATTTGGTATACATCCGATTTGAGACAAACATTAAATCAAAATCCAACAACAAAAACATTGGTCAACAGCCTTACATCCGGTCAGATATCTCAAAGGATATCTTATTTCAGGCTTTACTATACAACAGTTTGTACCATGCAATTAGAGGCTAGCTTTGTGATGTGATCATTGGGGAGTTGCGCTCTCACCACAAAGTCACTCACTACTAATGTATTTTTTTGGGTCAACCGCTGGTTTTCAGAAAACTAAGAAACAAACTATTGTTTCTTAATCATTGGCTGGAAGAATATCCAATATATGGCCTCTACAGTTTGTGAAATTCAATGGCCTTCTCACCAAGATAAAGATTTTGCTATGCAACTTGTTTAACCTATTCCTTTATGGTGTGACAATAAGGCGACATTACACATCACTTCCAATTCAGCCTTTCATGACCGCACCAAACACCTTGGTATTGATTGTCATGTTGTGAGGAACAAATTCAAAAGTTTCATTTCTCCAAGTTATATACCTTTCTCTTGCCAGCTGAGTTTCATTGTTTTCTGCACAAGTTGGGAATGTGTATCATTTTGTTGGCATGGAGCAGATCGATGGCGATGGCATGCAGTCAACACATGCAGATGACGTGTTTATCTTTTTGTGCACTTCTTTTTTTCCTTGTTAAAGTCGTGTTCTTTTTTTACTCATGAAATTGTAGTTATCGGTTTTGATTGTTTTATCAACTTAGTAGCTTAGGCACGTGTATCTATTCCAATGAAACTATCAATATCTGATGTCCTAGAAGGAATCAGCTCGCGGTTTATATGTTCTGCAACAAAATTTAAGCTCAATAAATGGTGAAATGACAATATATTGGAAGTTCTAAAATACCTCTCCACTGAAAATGATAACCTGCATGAATTTACAATTACAAATGTTATTGTATTCCCACTGTTGTAGACGAATAATAGAAGTTCTATTACAATTTTTAATATATATATATACATCACATAACAATTGTTTCGTAGCACATTTACCCTCGTTTTGTTTATGAGAAATTGCTGTTATAATATTTATGATTAGAAAGACCAGTTTTCTGTTCACCAGTTCACCCCTTTAGTAATCAATTGTTTACAAATACAAGTTGTACACTTGTAATACACCAAGTAGTAAATGGCCTAAGCTAGTTTACAAGTACATGTTGTAAACTTGTAATACAGCAAGTTGTAAATGGTCTCAGCTGCTAAATCTCCAGATACCAAAAAAAAAAAAAAAGTCCTCGTTAATCAAGGATTTCAACTATACAAAGCTAAACTTAGGTTAAAATTTTCTGTGGCACAGGAGCCTCTGCGTTAGGAAAACAATTAAAGAAACTTCAGTGAAATTAAGCGAAAAAAGTTCAAACGAAATCTCTCAGCAGAGGAATAGAGAACTAGTACAGGACTACACATTCTCCAATCACTCTGTAAACTTCAAACCGTTCACATTTTGGTTCAACGTCCTAGCAAATGAAAAAGGCTTTTGAGTCGCATGAACATACATTTTCCAGCAAAAAATAGAATGCCTGAAGGGAGGCCTTTTACGTGGATAAATAAAGAAACTTCAAAATGTTCCAAAACCAAAAAATTTCTATCAAAGCAATCAATCTGAATGAGAATACCATACCCACACAAATAGAGATCAACAAGATGACACACAGTATATACTTTGAAATTCGTCATTCTCAAAATTATTCAGTCTCAAATAATCGGTTTCATTCTAGCTGGACATTGCGCATGAGGCAAAGCAAGTATTCTCTCCAATTCAATTCAAGAATAACGTTTAAACACTTCAATAAAAAAAGGTCCCATATTGCACATCAATCACATCTTTGATATACACAACCCTTCTTGCACCTTTCAATTTCAAACCTCCTTTGATCACTAACCATCGACCCAAACACATCCAAAAGGCCATCAAGCCCATCTTCTGCTCCTTCTTTCCCTAGAGCCTTCATTGCATACACAATGCTCTCGATTGTCGATAAATATCCCACCTTGGGCTGACACCTAACCTCACCGTACAAGCTCGGCCTATCACCTAAGTCCAACCTCACGTGTGGCAATAGCTTCAGCCAGGGATTCACTCTGTACATCTTCTTTGCCTCTGGCCAAGTCCCATCCAACACTATCAAATTCATGACTTCAAAATTTATAGCGTCAAAACCGACCGATTGCTCACTCGGGAACAAAAGCACAGACCCAGGAACAACAGCAATTTCATATTCTTTCCTTTCATCATTTTGAACACTAGTTTGGAATCTTTTCACAACAAAACCTTTTCCAACAATGTGTTTAGTAGCTATTTCCGAGGACAATATCTGATCGAAACTCGTAATTCCGTGGGATTGAACCCCGCAAATCCTAGCATTGATGGAGGAGAAGACAATGTCCCCGTGTTTTCCAACAATGAAGTCGATGACAATTTCACCCTTCTCAGCTGGCGCGGATTTTTCTTTGGATCCACAGCGAAAATCGCTACCCCCAAAAATTTTACCATCAGAAACAGAAAGCTCAGATCCATCATTTTCCCTGGTCGGCATTTCATCAAACAGGTGGCCGGTCCCACCAAGTCCAGCCCGGCCGACGCCGAATCGGGCATCAAGAGACCGGATGGCGACCCCAGCTTGTGAATGAACGTCGGAAACCGTAACGACGGCGACGTTCTTAAACCCAAGGGCTGCTACCCGCGCGGAATTGAGATGATGGTTCTTCTCTCGCCTGTGCTGGATGATGGTGATGGCGACCCGGTTGTCGAGTGCCGGTACAGGGAGACGGTCGCAGATACAAGTGCGGGCCGGCTTGCCGCACGACAGGCAAGTAGGTCGCTTCGCCGGCCCGGCCACATTCACCATAGAGAGAGAGAGTGCCGTTCTAGGAGTTTGGGATTTTTTGGTGCTCGATTTAGAAAAGGCTGGAGACGCGGATTTAGGCCCAATAGCAATCAAATTCGGCCAAGAAGCCCAGAGTATGTATATTATGTTGGCATTGAAACATATTCAAATATAAAAGTAGATGGAAGTATATTGATATTGAAATAAGGGACAAAGTCCAAATACAACGGGCAATATTTGAAATAAAGACTTGGAGGACACGCTTAAAGCGGCATAGAAACATCACCAATCGAAGGGAAGAAATCCAAACTCAATTAATGACCCTCCATTGCCACAAGGCCTAAAGGGTCTGAACATAGAAGAACAACCAAACCACAATAAAACTAAGAAACGGAAAATGAAACAAGATCACCACTAAGGAGAACTCCATCCAGTCGTTATGAGCTGCTTTGACCACCAAATGAAAAGGAAGAAGGATGTCTTGAAAGAGCCATAGATTGCGATTTTTCCAAAGCCACCTAAGCATGTGGGTGGTCAATTGGATTCTTGCTTCAGGTATATCTGAGGATCTTAATGTGCAGATATGATTCCACCAGTACCTGAAAGAGAAATCTTTGGAGTGTAGTCCCACCCATTTAACTGGGGCAATATCCCAAAGTCTAGCTGCTCTAGGACATTGGAATAAGACATGGTCCACTATTTCAGAAGATTCACCACAGCTTTCGTAGATGACATCAATATTCAAACCTCTTTTCTTTAAGTTTGTTTTAACAGGTAAAAGACATTTCCAAATAAAAAGTTTAACTTTGCCAACCACCTTCAATTCTTAGTATTTGTTACCTAAATTATGTATGAGTGGCTATCGCTGCAGGGTAGATCCAAGGCCAAGAGCTTCTGATTGGATAGATGAGAATAAGTGCTAGAAATTGAGAATGCACCTTTCCTGTCAAACTTCCATAATTTTCTGTCTTCTTTGCCTGGCTTGAGACTGGTGATTTTAAGAACTTCCTTATTGTCTTCTGCATTGAATACTTGGTTCACCAGCCATGTGTTCCAGTTTGTACTAGAGATATGCAATAGGTCCTTGACCCAGATAAGGTGCCCCCTAGCAATTTCAATGAGAGTGGGCACCCAATTCACCTCATCCACTCTAGTAGACTCCCCATTTCTGATTTCCACTGCATATACCTTAGAAAAGTTTGGAATAATCTCTAACCAGTTGGACCATAACTAAGATCAATTATGAGTTTTGACAGCATCAAAGATAAAGCAGTTAGGGAAATATCTATCCTTCAAAATTCTACTTACCAGCATGTAGGGTTGTGTGGTGATGCTCCACAGTTGTTTACAGATAAGAGCAATGTTGAAATTGTTGATATCAAGGAATATAAGGCCGCCAATAGCCTTTGTTAGAGAGAGAGAAAACTCCAAGCTTTCCAATGAATGCCATTTGTGTGATCTTCATTGTACTCCACCACAAATTAGAGCACATTTTGGATATCTCTGCACATAGAGTAGAAGAGAGCTTGAAGCAGGACATGGAAAAAATAGGCAAGGCTTGAAGGACAGCCTTTATCAAGACCTCTTTTCTAGTTTGAGAAAGAAGTTTTGATATTTAACTCTGAATTCTGGATCTGACAGATTCCAATACATACTGAAATGATTCAAACTTGGATCTACCAATTCCAAGTGGTAGTCCTAAGTATCTTGTGGATTCGTGAGATGTTATCCCTTGCATAGTTGTGGAAATTCTCTCCTGAAGATGCTAAGATGTATTCTTATTGAAAAAACAGCAGGTTTCTGTAGATTGACAAGCTGCCCACGAAGTAGCCTATACATTTCCAAGATGCTCAAAAGAGAAGAGGCTTGATCTGTCAACGGCAAACACTCCGATCGGTTGGAAATCAGTTCGCCTCCTTTCCCCTCGTCGGTAGAACGCCGTGTACCTGCAAAGAACTTTCACACTGGAGGGGTTTTCCAGTGAAGAGCCTCCGATGCTTAAGTCAGTGTTTGTTCTACTCAAATCTTAAGAGTAAAATGGATAAATCGTGTGTAACAAGAAAGGCTCACCAGGGGTGAGATACTTGTCCTAGGAGCTGCCCGGATGTGATGAGCTGTTTGTCCAAAGCTGCCCGGATCTGCCCGACCGTACACACACAGTGTGCGTGTGTCAGAGGTGGTTATCGCCACTATCACTATACACCAATATATTCTCGCCACGTATCCCCTGCACATGGGCTAATTATTCCTCTGAATATTCTTAGAAATTTTTCTTAGAGGTTCACGCACTCTCTCACGTTTAGGTCACGCCCCCTATTGCTCTTCACTCGCGAGATGGTTGATCCGATGATCTTCTGCTCGATAGGTCGATCTTCGACCAGATCTCCCACGGTATTCGACCACTATTCTTCGGCCTAATATTGTTTAACAAGCGTGGATTTCCAGTCATTAGATTCGAGTGACCGGCATAGTGCACTGGTATATTCCTTTAGGTATATAATGTCCTATATCATTTAGTTCCCCCCACTCTGGTCGAGTCTAAAATGACTCGATCTAAGAGTGAATTTTTGTTCGCCTTCTTGGTTTCTCCATACCTCGACCATCTGGCAAGTTTTGTCTCATTTTTTCGACCACTTCGTCCTTCCCAGGAAAATTCAAGCCTGCCACCTGTCGCGCCTTGTCAGATATTCTCATCATTGCGCCTTTTCCCATCATTGTGCCTTCTCGCAATTTGTGCCCTTTTAAATCCCGTGCCCATTAAATGTTCCCAGCCGTTAGATTTCACCTTTAATCCAATGGCTATCTTGATTAACTTTTTTCCTTTCCTTCTTCATCCACTTATAAATACCCACACTTAGGATTTTTTGGACTTTTTCACCTTTGATATTTTTCAAATTCACTTGTGCTGTTAATTTTTCTTCTTGCAAATTTCCTGCTCTCGGCGTTTTTGGTCACCACTGTCTTCAAGCTTTCCGACGACTTCTCCTTACTGCAACTATGAGTAAGTTCCCTGTATTTTAAAATTATGTGTTTTCCTTTTTCAATTTTTGGTTTTCTGAGTCATTAATTATTCATTTTTTTCCTGAAATTTCACTCAACCCTAATCGTAAGATCTTCCTCCTTTTTCTTCTTTGTTCTTCTTCAAAATCCTAGAGTTCTTCCCTTCTGATTTCTTTATCCCTTATTTTTCAGATTCCGCTACCTCCAGCAAGAACGACCACCACTCCGGCAAGGACATGCCTTCTCCCTCCTCGTCTCTGACTCCTCGACCGATACCTCACTCACCTTCTAATTCTATCGAGGAGGTTTACCAAGTAATCCCTCTCCGTATGCTTCGTCCCGCTGATTACTCCACACCCTCTCCTCCGCCCCAACCTCATCGTCTAATCGATGAGTCAGACGAAGACGCTCTTATCTCCCATAAAAATAAAATCTCCTCTTTTATGTAGGCTTTTAATATATAATCATATTAATATTTGGATTTGAAATTTTAAAGTCCAACTTTAAAATTCAACTATTAATTTAGTAATTCCAATAATTACTTAATTAATATCCAAAGCCTAATTAATCAATCTAATTGATTAATTTATTATATTCCTTTAATTAACTTCTAATCAATATTAGATTTAATTAAATAGTCAAATTATTTAATTAAGTCTTATCAATTAATCCAACTATTGGAAATACCAATTTCAAAATAGTCATCATCCATAATTTGGTGTGACCCTTTTAGGTTCACAATTAACACTAGTAGTGGGTTTACAACTCGTTTGTAATTTAAATTAATGTAATTAATTTATATTCTTGAAATTAACTCCTTATTTTCAAGAACCCACAAATCATGGGAACACCTAGCAAGTAGCATGATTATCTAGTGTTAAGTGAAATAGCGAGTAAGCCTTTTCAATTGCAAGTGCATACATGTAAAATCCTTTCGACAACTAATTTCCCGATTAAATCTTGGTCATGGATTTATAAGTCGAAACCCAATTGATTTAATAACTATGATTTCATTTCAAGTTTAGTGATTCCTTTATGAATCCATATTCATCCTGCCTTGGCCAAGGTCTTTGAATCACAAACTATGAAAAACATAGAAAATTCACTTATCCACATAAGTGTCGAATTCTTTGTTGGCCACAGATAAACCTCCATACATATTAATACAGTACCCAAAATATCCCTTTTGTGATTGTCCAGCAATCAAAGGATAAATCAAAGTAAAGCATAACATGCACAAGATTACTATCGTGCCTCAAGTCATAGGATTAGTCATGTACTATTGCAACATGAAAATTTTTATTCGACAGTTAAAACTTCCAGTTAAGAATTTTCATCGGGTCATGTTCAGTGAACTTGTTCTCCAACAAGCACCCACATATATGTATTTGCATCCAACGCCAATATTGATGGAATGCAACATTCTTGTCCAACAAGCATACATCATATGTGCAAGTCTTATCGGGTTATTTGATATCCCATCTCGAAATATCCAACGACTTGGAACTGTATTTAAGATCACAGCTTTAAAGTTATGTTCCATGATTACCATCAAATGCGCAACCATGCCTTATAGCCATTAATGATCTAAGGACTTTATCATATGTGTAAATATATGATAAATGCAAATACATAAGATAAAGCTATGCCTTAAAATAATATAATTTCCAATAAATGTTTTAATATTTTAGGGGAGAGGATAAGTTGTCTACCTGTGAGTCATGTCTTAAAGGAAAAATGACAAAATCACTATTTGTTGGACAAGTGGAGCGAGCTAAAGGTCTGTTGGATTTGATTCACACAGATGTTTGTGGACCACTAAATGTTAGTACCTGAGGGAACTATCACTATTTCATAACCTTTACCGATGATTTCTCTAGGTATGGTTATGTATACCTTTTGAGGTATAAATCTGAAGTTTTTCAAAAGTTCAAAGAGTTTAGATGTGAAGTAGAAAAACAAAGTGGTCGTAGTATTAAGATTCTTCGATCAGATTGAGGAGGTGAATATTTGACCACTGAGTTTCTCGATTATCTGAAGGAGAATGAGATTCTCTCGCAGTGGACTCCTCCTGGTACTCCACAACTTAATGGAGTTTTAGAAAGGAGGAATCAGACATTGTTAGACATGGTTCGATC